TTGTATTACACATTAGTTCATGATCGAAGAAATCAAACCAGTGAGGCAGGGAGTAATGACAAGCACGTGTCATCAACCAGCGAACTAGGATACGGAGCTTCAGTACGTGCTCTCTAAGGAGTACATGGTCTATTTGTGAAAGAAAAAAATTAAGTAGTGTTATAAATTATCGAGGATGACAAGTGTAAATTGTTCATTCTTGTCATCACAACACTCATCCAATTATTGTCTTTGTAATAGACTGGCTAGGTTTAATGTTGCCACCAAATTATGTAGAATCATTCTTTGATGATTCATCTCCTAGCCAACTAGTATAAATAGGGTGTTCAATCCTTTGTAAATTCAATTTACAAAACTCAGAAACTTTCAGATATTAAGAAGAAGTAATTTAGAGCTCATTATTAATATATCTATCTCTTTAATCTATTCTGCATCTTCTTCATTTCACAACACGTTAAGACTGCGTATTATTAATCATTTTGACGCATTATCATGGTTTCACATGATAATGGCTTAGACCGACTGCGTATCATTAATATTCCCCAATGCAATTAGTTATTGGACAAGAGCCAAACTTAACACACATAAAGATATTAGGTTGTGCTGTTTATGTTCCGATTGCTCCACCTCATCATACAAAAATGGGTCTCTTAAGAAGGTTGGAATTTATGTTGGATTTGAATCTCCCTCAATAATAAAATATCTTGAACCGACGACTGGTGACTTATTCACCACATGGTTCGCTGACTTTCATTTCAATGAGACAGTATTCCCAACCTTAGGGGGAGAAACTAATAAATCAGACCCAAGTACGAAAGAAATAACCTGGAATGCAACATGCAGGATTATCACACCTTGATTTTAGATCAAATATATGTGAACAAGAGGTGCAAAAGATAATCCATTTACAAAATGTTGCAAATTAGTTGCCTCATGCATTCACAGATACAAAGAAAGTGACAAAGTCACATATTCCTGCAATGAATGCTCCTGCCAGAATCGAAATCCCAACAGAGAATTCTGAAAAATCTCTTGCAAATGATTCTTCTATACGCAAAAAGCGTGGCAGACCACTTGGATCAAAAGATATAAAACCAAGAAAAACTAAAAACCAGGATTTAATCTGTGATGCCAAAGATGTTCATCCTTCTAAACAAGAAAATGAACAATTTGAAAATACTGGCATAGAAAATTATATTGACAAAACAAACATCTCAAATGATGATCCAACTTCCTTAAATGAGGAAGATATTCCAGATAATGATAGAAACGTTGATAATTATGAAATTTCAATAAGTTACGTTTCTACTGGAATGCAATGGAATCAAAAAGATATTGATATTAATGAGATATTTGTCTATGCCGTTGGCACAAATTTAATGAATGAAAACAATGACAATGAGCCAACATCAATTGAAGAATGTCAGAAACGACAAGATTGGCCAAAATGGAATGAAGTTATTCAAGCTGAATTAAAATCACTTGAAAAACGTGATGTTTTTGGACCGATAGTCCCTATGCCAAAAGGCGTAAAACCTGTGGATTTTAAATGGGTATTTGTGCGTAAACGCAATGAGAAAAATGAAATTGTAAGATATAAAGCCCGACTTGTTGCCCAAGGTTTTTCTCAAAAGCCGAGAATTGATTATGAAGAAACCTATTCTCCAGTAGTTGATGCAACTACATTAAGGTTTCTCATTGGCATGTTTGTTTTTAAAAGGCTGCAAATGCGCCTAATGGATGTTGTGACTGCATATTTATACGGTTCACTCGATACAGACATTTATATGAAAGTTCCCAGAGGATTTAAAATGCCTGAAGCTTTTAGCTTGAAACCTCGAGACATATTTTCCATTAATTTACAGAAGTCATTTTATGGACTACAACAATCTGGACGAATGTGGTATAATCGTCTCAGTGAATACCTTCTCAAAGAAGAATATAAGAATGACCCGATTAGTCCATGTGTTTTTATTCGACGATCAAATTCTGAATTCGTCATAATTGCAGTATATGTTGATGACTTAAACATTATTGGAACTCTCGATGAAATTGAAAATACTGCAAAATATCTTATGAAAGAATTTAAAATGAAAGATCTCGGGAGAACCAAATTTTGTCTCGGACTTCAAATTGAGCATTTGAAGAATGAAATTTTCATCCGTTGACCTCACCAATGGTTATTCAATCTCTCAACATACATGATGATCCATTCCGTCCCCGAGAAGAAAACGAAGAAATACTCGGTCCCGAAGTACCATACCTGAGTGCTATTGGAGCTTTAATGTATTTAGCTAATAATACTAGACCAGATATTGCATTTTCTGTAAATTTATTAGCTAGGTACAACTCATGCCCAACAAGGCGTCATTGGAACGGGATTAAGCACATATTCCGTTATCTCCGTGGTACAGTTGATCTCGGCCTATTCTACGACAAAGATGCAAAATCCACTTTAATCGGATATGCAGATGCTGAATACTTATCAGATCCTCAAAAGGAGAAATCACAAACCGGGTACGTATTTACTTATGGTAACACCGCAATCTCATGGAGATCTATGAAGCAGACATTGACAGCTACATCATCAAATCATTCAGAGTTAATTGCATTATATGAATCCGGGAGAGAATGTGTGTGGCTGCGATCTATGATTCAACACATCCAAAATGAATGCGGTATAAAACCTCTTACTTGTCAGCCTAGTGTGATCTATGAAGACAACACTGCATGTATAGCGCAAATTAAAGAAGGCTACATCAACGGAGACAGAACGAAACACATATCAATCACCAAAGTCCTTCTCTACTCATGATCTGGAGAAAGAAAGGACAATCAACATTCAACAAATGAGATCTAGTGAAAATCCGGATGATCTTTTCACCAAGTCATTGCCCCCGAAGAAGTTCATAGAACTTGTACAGAAAATCGGCATGCGCCGACTTCATAATTTATGTTAAATTCAGGGGGAGTATTTGAATGCACTGCACTCTTTTTCCCTTCATCAGGTTTTTATCCCACTGGGTTTTTCCTGATAAGGTTTTTAACGAGACAGTACATCCAAATACAATGACATTATAAGTCGTAATCTTTACCCCTTAGTTTTCACATTCATTTTCACAATAAGTTTTTAAATTAACAAATATCTATTCAAGGATGAACATTCAAGAGGGAGTGTTATAAATTCCTGAGAATGACACGTGTGAATTGTTCATTCTTGTCATCAGGACACTCATCCAATTCTAGTCCTTGTAATAGACTGGCTAGGTTTAGTGTTGCCAACAAATTATGTAGAATCATTCTTTGATGATTCATCTCCTAGCCAACTAGTATAAATAAGGTGCTCAATCCTTTGTAAATGCAATTCAGAAACTCAGAAACTTTCAGATATTAAGAAGAAGTAATTTAGAGCTCATTATTAATATATCTATCTCTTTAATCTATTCTGCATCTTCTTCATTTCACAACAAGTAGTCTATTTTTGAAAAGTAAAATGGAAAGTGAAAAAAGTGATATATCTTTCACTTTCAAGCTTATTTGTGATAATTTCCTATAACTATACCAAGGAGTCCTGAGTCCAAGTATGGCAAATGATCAATCCAAAATATTTGATAAATTTCTATATCCACTAATGTCTTGCTAACATTTTAGAATGAGTTGAAAATAAGTCTCGAACAAAAATTGTACTCACGAGCACATGTTAATCCTTGCACAGTTGCACTACAAGAAATTAGGATTTAGTGACGGAGTTTTGTGGCGGAAAGCCATACCGCCACCAATTGGTGGCGAAAATAGTGGCGGAAGACAATCTGTCACAAATTTGCAACGGAAAAAATCTGTCACTATTTAATGGCGGATACATCAGACACGCAATTGTGACAGATTGGTGTGGCGGAATTATCGTCAACAATTAGTGGCGGACGTTTCTGACAAAATAACCTGTCACTAAGCTAAAGCATAATAAAAATTGCATTAAGTCATACTTTTCACATATGTATATGCATATATATTAGGAATGGAGAACGGAAAAATCGTATTTTTTTAAATAATATGTATATATATATTACCAAAGTATATCATAAACTAAAATATTACACTATAAAAAAATATTATACTATTGGTGACAAAATATTATCTTAATGTGCATTGAACATAAGAATACATTAGGGTCAATTCAAACTAATGCCCGTTTAATAGTCTCAACACTTACTCTCACTTTTCTCTCCCTCACTCTTCTTCTAAGGGCAAATTCAAACTCAAATACGTTTAATATGAACACCATTTCCGCCTTGGTTCTCTCTATATTGGAACATAAAAATGTTAACTAAGACGAAAAGTGGTGAGTGAAGGTAGCCAGGTAAGATTAGGAGTATTAAATGACATTAGTTTGAATTCATTCCAATTTATTCTTGTGGACACTCCCAATAGAGATTATTATTGTAGAATCCATAAAAGTAAGGATTACTCTTGTGACGTCATTTTATAAGAGTAGTATATGTACATGAGTATGTTCGAGTAAGGAATTTTCCAATTAGAACGCAGTTCGGCCACCCTCCATTTGAGGTGTTCTCAGGTAGAATTTTTTGATTAAATTTTGTAAACATATAGTTTATGAACTGTAAATTATGCCCACTAAATTTAAGTTTAAAATACAATCAGAAATTCAAATAAATAAATTATTAAAAAGCTCTATGACAAAATACGAAGTATATATTAGTTGCCTTTTTTTGGCTTTTGCCGGGGCCAATTAATTGTACCGGTCCTGAATATGTGTCTCGAGTACCAAACCTCTCCAAAATCATAATCCTACCCAAAACAGAGCATAAAACAAGACTACTTTAAGAAGTTAAAGTTAGAGATGCTTTCAAGACGGAATGACTTGATCTCCAATTTGCGTAATTGTATCCTTGAGAATGTAGAGATGGTGCATGCCACGTGAGCAATGACGTGGACGAGGCCAAGCTCTGCTATAAGAAGTCTTCCTGACAATGCAAAGGAACCACAACTCACGTACAACTGTGACTGAAACATGGCCTCCAAGCAGCAGCAGCAGAAGAAGAAGGAGCTTCATATAGTTATGTTTCCATGGCTTGCTTTTGGGCATATCACCCCATTCCTGGAGCTCTCCAAGTCCATAGCAGCAAAGGGTCACAGAATCTCCTTCATTTCCACTCCTCGAAACATAGATCGCCTTCCTCTCCTCCCACCCGACCTCGAATCCTCCATAACCATGGTCAAGATCCCGCTTCCTCGCGTCGATGGGCTGTCGTCGCCGAACGCGGAGGCCACGATGGACATTCAACCGGAGGAGATGCCTTACCTCAAAGAAGCCATGGATGGCATGGAAACAGAGGTGACTCGTTTCCTGGAGAGAACCTCCCCTGATTGGATCATCTTCGATGTCGCCCAGCACTGGCTCCCGCCTGTTGCGGCCAGGCTCGGGATTTCTCGGTGTTTCTTCATTACCACCAGCCCCTGGTTCACCGCTTTCTTCTCTGACGAATTCATGATGAGTATCTCCTCACCGCCAAAGATTGAAGACTTCTTAGCCCGCCCAAAGTCCATTACCTTTGAGACAAAGGCTCGATTCCGCCGGTAACAGTTATATATTCATAATAGCTAGAATTAAACTAGCTAGAGAGGATCCAAGTACTCCTCCTTCCCGTTAAATTGGGTCACACACTATTCACTTAGCTTAGTCAACACAAATCACTTTTAACATTTTACTTCATATACGACTTTTCCGACTTTGTAAAGCTTTTAATGTCGTTTCTGAATATGTAATTTTTTATCTAAAAATAATTTGAGATTCGTAAACCAAATTGTCCCAATCTTTGTGGGACGGAGGGAGAATATGATAATTGAAAGTCTTTTGTATGGTGATTAACAATTTTATACAGGTACGAGGCAAAATGGATTCTCAGCTCGCCACCGAAGGTGTCTGCTAAAACAGATATGGACAGGCTTATTGCTGTGAAGACAGGTTCAGACCTACTCATCTCCCGACACAACAACGGATTGGAACGAAAATGGGTTAATGTGTTGGAGACGACTAACCGTGACCGGCCGGTGCTTCCGACAGGATTAATGCCGCCAACGGTTCATCTTAATGATGATCTTGACAAAAACAAAGACTGGATTTCCATTAAAAAGTGGTTGGATGGACGCAAAAAACGCTCCGTGATCTACGTGGCACTCGGGACCGAGTTGGTTGTCGGACCCGATCAAATTGGTGAGTTGGCTCGTGGGTTGGAACAGAGCGGAATTCCATTCTTTTGGACTCTGAGGACTCCACGAGGGAACCACACATCCTTGGGCTTGCCGGATGGGTTCGAAGAGAGAGTCGAAGGACGAGGAGTAGTGTGGAAGACATGGGCACCTCAGAAGGGCATACTGAGTCACGTCTCTGTCGGCGGGTTTTTGACTCATTGTGGTTGGAGTTCTATCATCGAGGGAATCACCTTTGGTCACCCACTAGTCATGCTTCCCTTCTTGTTTGACCAAGGTATTACTGCTCGTGTTATGGAGGACAACCAGGTCGGCATTGAAGTTCCGAGAGATGAAGAAGACGGGGCGTTCACAAGTAACTCGGTGGCTAACTCTGTAAGGTTTGTGATGCTTGAGAGTGAGGAGGGGAAGAAAGTACGAGAGAATGCCCAAAGGATGAGTTTGATCTTTGGAGATAAAAAGTCAAATGACAAATGCATTGAAGATCTAATTGACTTTATGGCAAATCATACTATGAACAAGAATACAAATCATGCAATGTTCTTTGATTTGGTAATGCTATGTGTACTACTTATTATAATAATTATTAGTCTTCATATATATTAAGTAACTTACCAACATGTATTGTTACCCCAATGATTGTCTTCATATACATTGAAAATAAATTAACTTGCAATATATATCACCTTCATGATTGCATCTGTATACATTTATTATTATAATAATAATTATAATATATACACATTTAGTTTGCTCCAGATTTTCTTGCCTGGTTTTCGTACCCAATTTATATATACTATTATATGGCAAGAGAGTGGTTTCAATGAGAACACTCATTGTGAGAAGTGAGAAAAAATCTTGTCCAACCATCATATTAAATGACCGGTTTCTAAGGCATTGGTGCAAAATTTTAACATGAGCATCCTCACACAACAACCTGTGTCAAAATAGGAAAGTGCAATTAATAAAGGATGAAATGGTCAAGAATCATATAAAATGTTTTTAGTTTAAGAAAGATTTAACTTCTTAAAGAAATATATTTTAACAAAAATTATATCAAATTAAATAACTTTTATGATATTTCATATGACACCAATATTGCATATATATATATATAGTTTTAAAAAACAATTAATTACAAGGTAAAATTCCCTAAATAGGAGTAAAAGCTTTTGAAATTCCAAAATAGGACTGTCGAGTTTTTATTCCCTAAATAGGAGTAATTTTTGCCGAGTTTGGCATTAGCAGGATTAAAAAATGGCAATTTCTATCAAATTTTTCCCAAACTTGACAAAAGTTACTCTTATTTAGGGAATACAAACATGAAGGTCATATTTGGAATTTCAAATTTTTTTACTCCTAATCTTGACAATTTCTATTATTATAATATGTATACAATAAACCATAGCAAATATCTTCGGTTATTGCATTCAGGAAAACATGTATCTAACACACAACCGCCAATACCTGGCCTAATGCATATGAACTAGTTTTGTACTCAATATGGAGTAATACTTACCAAAAAAATCAACAAGAAAATAGAAAGTGAAACATGTCATATAGCTAGTGTGTGTGTGTGTGTGTGTGTGGGAGAGAGAACTAATATCTAATGTACAAGAAACTTATATAAATTACTAGTTTTTATATCGCGCGTTGCGCGACTGAATAATGCCCAATTTTGTTATTTTTTAGAAATGTAGATGCATTTCGTTTATGACAAATAAAATGGGAAAGGGGTCAGGAACTTGTACATTATGGGAAAAAATAATAAGTTTTAAGTTGAATGTATTTTTAGTTAAATAATTCTCATCCTTTCCAAGTCCCGATAATATTATCTTGATGTTCAATGTCCAAGCATAACATATCATTCTTTGCATATTATTTTCCTATTTTTACCATATCAGTACACCATGAGCCATCGGTGTGTGTGTGTGAACTAATATCTAATGTACAAGAAACTTACATAAATTATATGTTTGTATAATGTACAAGAAACATTATTCAATGCACAATATATATGTATAACAAAAAATAAAACAAGTATCTTAAGATAAAAATCCAATATCTAATGCACAAAAATTAGGAACTGATTAATATTTTAACACAGAAGGCCTTAAAAGGAACCTACATTAGTATATAACACACAAGATCGAGTATCTAACACACACTACATTTATGAACCACAAGCCAATACCTAACTTATATGTATACAACAATTCACTACAAGCATCTCTAGCTACCGCACAAGAAATTGTATTTAATGCACACGATCATGATTCTTATGAAATATTCCCTCCGTCCCAATAAATTCTTCCAAGCATGACTTGGCTCGCAAATTAAGGAAGTGAGAATCAAGTGGAAATGTATGGTTGTAGTTGTGTAAAAACAAGGTAAATGAACGTAAATCACACAATATTTCCAAAAGTGGAAGTTGGAAGAATTTGTTGGGATGGTCAAAAATGAAAGTTGGAAGACTTTAATGGGATGGAGGGAGTATTAATTATTCAATGGATTTAAGAATTACTAAATATAAAGACATGCCTCACGTTGAAAAATTCAAACAGAAATAATGGAACACAATAAGAATACTTCCTTCCTTTCCTAAAATGAAACACGCCTATTCATTGAAATATCGGTTACAAAAACTGTCAAAATGGATTATTCAAAAATGCCCATTGATACTTATGTGATCATTTCAGCGCATTGTATAATTTGAATGACTAAGATTTGTTCTTACTTCTTACATTAAGGATTGTTATTATTTGAACCAAAATCTATATGCTGCCAATATATTAACAATAATAATGCCATAAAAATATTTGCCTTCTAAGGCCTAACTATCAAAGAAATGGGCAACTTATGTACATTTTCAGACCTACCTTTTTTTGGCAGCAACCTACCTATTGTTCAACTGTGTTATTAGAACTGGACGGGACCGGGCGGGTCAACCCGGAAATCGGCGAACCGGCAGCTTAACCGGTCCGGTTACTCCCAGACCTGTAAATGTGGGTAAACCCGGAAAAACCCGCTGGCCCGTTCTGACCCGGGGTGAACCCGGGACTGCCCAGACCCGGGAAACCCGGTTGTTTCACCCAAGAACCGGCTGAAATGCAAAAGTTTACACTGAAAAACGTTGCAAGTGTACAAGTGCTGATATAGTAATAAATTTCGGTAAAATACCGGGTCAAATCCACCGGGAAACGTTGTTTAATTTAGTCCGATAGTAGATGACCTTTAATAAATAAATGAGTAAAGTGCGGCGGTTTTGATTTATGTGTTATATTTTTGGCTTTTCGCTTTTAATTCCAGAAAATAACTTTAATTCATTCGGATTTATGATGAATGACAACAACAACTAAGGCTTCGAAAATCACTTAAATGCTTTAATAGAGTTGAATATTAGTTCTTTACCAATAATTATGAATGCGATGCCGCTAATATATTCTCAACTCCGATTAAGGCAGCGAGAGCGTGGTTTTCGTTACGTGTAAGTCCCGTTACGGCTTACATTCATCTATCGAAAACCTCTTTGAATATCAAGACATCACACCCGTATCATATAATACCGGATATATTTCTATTTTCGGTAGTATATATGTTTATCCTTTACTGTTCATAGTTTAGATTTCAGCGTTAATTGCAAGCATAAACTAAATTTAACATACTTCTAGGTTGTACACCATAGTTATAAACAATCAAAATATAAAGGATCGATAAATCACAATTTATTGGTTTAGAACTTTTATCAAACACCTAGTGGGCATAAAAGTTCATCCCTAGCCTTAGCTAAGAAATTAGCTCCTTGAGCTCATACTAATTACAAAAGTGTAACTAAGATAAAAAAAAAAATACAATAACATACAAGAAATATTACCTAGAACCAATTGTAGAGGAGAGAAATAGCTTCTTCTCCAACTCTTCCAGAAAATGCAAAAGTAAAATATAAAAATTGAATTTTTAGCTCCAAAGATGGAATGATGATGTTTTTTGATGAATTGGGGGGCTTTATATAGGCTAAAGATTGACATCTTTTAGTCTATTCAAACCCAACAATTAGGCATGGATGAAATATTTGATCAGATCATAAGGAAAGTGGGTTATTCCCATCAAAATATGGCTGCACGTCTCTTTATATTCTGCAGATTCGAGCTTTACCGGCACCGGTTTTAGGGTTGACCGGCGCCGGTTTTCATTCGGGGCTGGAATTATACTGAAAAATACCATAACCGGCGCCGATTATAGGGGTGGACCGGCGCCGGTTATACTTCGGTCAAGCGGGAAAATGGCAAATTAAATCCAACCAGTGTCGGTTAGGTCACTGGACCAGCGCCGGTTTTCCCCTGCAATGCAATACTTCATTTTTCGCTCCGTTTTACGCACGTAGTTGACCCCAAAGTGTCAGTTCATGTGCCCCTTTTGACTGTTGACTCATGTTTCTTCATCTTTGACGCCTTTGTGCGGTTTTGCTCAAATTGAGATTTTTGCCTGTTTGGTCTTTGAATATTTGTACAACTAATCATAATTACCCATATAAAATATAGGTAACTATTGTGCTTATCAGGGTCACATTAGATGTCCGCAGACCTTTGAAAGGGGGAAAAGAATTGGGTTGCCCGATGGTGAAATCAAAGTGGTGAAATTTAGAAACTGCCAATTTGGTGCTAGCTCTTGTGGGCGCCACGTCATCGGAAAATGGATGACTAGGTT